TCTTTCTCCCTTAAAAAAAGATCTTAGAGAAAAGATTCAATATTTTGTTTTGGTGTATATTAACAGAAATATAAGATTTCTCATTTCTATTTTTAATGCTTTCTGCAACTGTTTTTATACTAAACCGATGCCTGAAAATCCTCCCAAAACACCCGCAATACATGCTCAGATATTTATGCTGCCTTCTAAATTACACACGCATTTGAGAATGTGGGTTATTTCTTTGTACATTAGACCTTTACCAAGATAAACAACTTGAGTATACTCATCAACATGCAATTCAGATGAACAAGCTGGTTTACACACATGATCTGCATGGGCCCAAAGACCTCTCTGTTCCCTGTCCCCCCCCAAATTCCTGCTATGAAATACGTAATTTGGTGGCCCATTTGTTATTTGAAATCTTCCTTTCTCTTGAGAAAGCTATAAATAATGATTTCTCCTTCCCTTTTCTATGCTACTTCTCAAATAGAACCCACAGGTGCTTTCATATCAGGTGATGATTTAGAGTAGGATTACCACATGATCAGACCCTGGAAAGATGTTTAAGAAGATTCTTCTGAACTGAAACAATTTAGAACTAAAAATGAATCTGTTTAATAGCATCTCTAGAGATCTAAGCACACACCACAGCACTGTATTCACCAACCACACTAGATCAACTACCTCTTCCTGCAGAGGGAAGCGTACCATTTTAATAAATACGTTAAAGTATTTTTAAATGTGATTGCCTACACTAACATTCATTCCAAGTAGTCATTAAATTAAAAATACAAACTAAATGATGCAAAGACAGACAACCTATTGATTTTCGCAGAGCCCCAAGCCATTCTTAGAGCACATACAACACAGGAAAGACTAAGCTTAGTCATGCTACTGAGATTGACTTCGAACCAATCTGAAGAAAAAGCTTCAAAACTAAAATCCATGCTGTTAAAAAAAACCAAGAGCATTGAAAAATATTATGAAAGGATTCAAGCTTAGTGCAACACCTACTATTTTTACCTGCTGCAGTGCATGCTCAAGAAGCGAACTTGCCTAAAAAAAAAATTTAACTGCTGATATAGACACTGTTCCATGCCATAGCTACTCAAAAGGAGGACCACAGCCTCCAATTCACTGACTCTGGATTGCAGAGGTTAGTCAGAACATAAAAATTACCAGGAAAAAATTGAACATGTAACAATATGACACATTTCAGATTTCCATACTTATAACAGGAATTCCACAGTCATTCTTTTAAAGGTTTTAGTGTTTAAGGAACTAACCACATGCTCCCTCCAGTTAAAATATTTAGTACTACCATCAGCAGTTTTGTAACAGTTTTAAGTCATATCCTGTGACCACCCTCTAACTGAGCTGCCATAATGGTCTGCTCCATTTTTACTTTACAGCAGTGAGAACAGCTGGAGAAAACCAAATGTAAGTGAAGCTTTCTTCTAACTCAAGTCAATTTTAGCTGACTCATGTCTGAATGTGTGAGCTTTTACATGCCTTCTCCTCTCACCCCTTCTATGGCAACTAAGAGATCCAGTCAAGTAAACATATCTCCTCTCATATCTTGTTCTCAATAATACTCCATGACAAATCTGCACATGAAGTCAAGCTTTAGCAGTGATCCTTAACTGTGAAAAAGACTATGTGATCTATATATTGCCAGCAACACATTCCCCAATTAGCAAATTTATTTATCTTTTCATTATCTCTTACAGAAGCTTTGTTAGGATTGTGTGCTCACTGCCTGTCTACTGAACTCTGTTCCCAATTTAACGTTTTGGTGATCAAAGTTGAAAATAGCTTCCCTGGTAATTATAACACTGATTTTGAAATGGTTGTCTCCATGTGACATCATTTGTAACCCAGGCTTTTTATGTATTTTCAATTTCTCTATTTCCTTCCTCTTTTTGGACTGCCATTTAAGATGTTACTAAGACGCTGACAATGGCCTCCAGATACATTTTTCCCCCAAAGGTAATAGTCTTAGAGCTTAGCACTACAGAAAAGTAAATTTAAGTAATTCTATATGAAGAACATTTCTTTCCATTTATTTAGAACTTTCAATTCTACATCAAGCATAAAAGCAAGCTGCACATCCTTTTCCTTGGCTTTCTTAAACTTAACTGCAGTTTCCCCAGTAACTGTTGCTGCAGATGGATCTTAAAAAACTTCGGAGCACTAGATTCCTTAGACATCATCCAACTCCAAAGGTAACTAAGAGTCTCAGATGGGCTTTAAGAAGGCATTAATGTCCTCTGTCCATACAGCTATAAAGACAGGTCAATACTTGTGATGCTGCAACAGATGAAGTCAGAAGACAGAACAGTCATTGCTTTAGAGAACAGACTGTCTCTGGAAATAGGTATCTAAGAGTCTTCTCAACCTATCTTGGGGAGAGAGGACAGTAGGGTCGGGGAGAAGGAGGAAAATCCTGTATGTGCACACCTGCATTAAAAACACGCAAAACTAAGAGACAAATCACAAGAGACCTAATGTGCCCCTTGCCTGTTCAACGCCACACTCGTTCTCCTCTCCCCTCCCTACCGTTTCCCTCTTTGCTTACTCAGATCACAAATAATTTGGGGACAAGTTTATCCTTGTATCATATAAACAACAGAGTGATGCAGGTATTGACTGGAACATCTTAGGTCCCTTATAACACAGTGTATGTTTTATTGCTGATTCTGTAGGCCTTTTGCTGTAAACAGTTTCATCTTCTTTCCCCTCCCTGGAAGTGTTCAAGGCCAGGTTGGATGGGGCTTTGGGCAACCTGGTCTAGTGGAGGGTGTCCCTGCCCATGGCAGGGGGCTTGGAACTAGATGCTCTTTAAGGTCCCTTTCAATGCAAACTATTCTGTGATTCTATGATTCTTTAGCTAAGATGAATGAATCTGAACTTCTACATTTATACCACTTACTGCAACAATAGTTAAAAAAACATCTGTTCAAAGCCTATCACCCACTATCATTTTTTGTTCATTTGTTATGTTTCTTAACACAGAATCTGGAATTAGTTACAGTATAACTTTTATAACTCATCAACTACAGAAGAGTTACAAAACTAGCAAAAACTAAAACAATCATATAACAGCACTTTAAAAAAAATCTCTCCACATTCACAAAACCAGTAATCTCAGAAGGCAACAAATGCATATGGATTTTAACAGAGATAAAGATCCTGATTTGGAATCAGTGTTCAGCATTAATCAAGCCACTTTTCAGAATCCATAGTAAAATACTTCATTGCCAAATATTGTGTTTTACTCAAGAAGTCAGCAGAACACCACCACAGTCAGCAGAAAACCACCACAGTGAATTCTGTAGGGTTATATTCATGCATACTCAACATGTTTTATTTTAAGAAAATTCTAAAAATAACACCTTACCTTTAAAGTCATCTCTTGGGCCTTGCATTTCCTTCTTGTTCATTTTTCTGTCAGTGCAGGAATTGTTATGGGCACCTTTGGAATTGTTTTCTAGGTAAGCTGAGCTCGTTCCTTTCTTGGAGGGATGAGGATCACAGAGTTTTGCATTAATCTTATAAAGCTCGAGGGCCTTAATGGCTGCTGCATTGTTATCCATACGGAGAAAAGTTGGACAGGAAGCACAAAATTCATTCGTGCAGGCTTCATTTCCACAGCCCTCAGTTAACTGGTGGTAGTAGCGCTCTATTAGATGCTTTGCAGCTGCTCGCTTCCTGTAGCAAACATTCAAACAGTAAGTACAAGGATTAGTAGAGCTTTCACATACAAAGCTCATTCAAAAGCATCAGCAAGGCAGAGATTAGTCAGGCACTGAAACACAAGATTTCTGTATCAGAGAGCACACATCAGGAGATATTTTAAACGCAGGATTCTCATCTTGACAAATGCAACTTAACACGCAATTTAATTTGTGGGTCCTACGTAAGTGAAAGGTAAATCCTGTTTATAAACAGTTTTTAGCTTTACATTCTAGTGTTACAGCGGAAACAATCTTGTTCAGTTCTGAACAATCTCAATTGTCACCAAAAAAGAGCAATTTAGATGCAAAGCAAGGCTGCAAGTGAAACAGAACTGGATCTTATACTGGTGATTGAGTCTGATATATAGTACTGAGGCGTGCTTGCCACTGACAGAGGGAAGAGGCACAAAATACAAATGACCCAGATATTTATTTAGTAGTACTATCAATACTACACCAATAGGATATAAATCCTTTAAAAAAAGTAAACTTTTTTTAAAAAAACAAGACTCTAGATGACTAAGTTATCTGAGTCTATTTAAATCTGCATGAAAAATATTCCTTGGTTAAACTGATGACAAAACCACAATGAGCTCAAGGCTGATTATATATCTCTCCTCAACTTACTAAGGTATATGGTTCTTTAAAAAAAAAAAAAAGCTATTTGCCAAATCCTCCCCTTTCTCCTGCAATTATACACAGCAAGTATGTATTTTGAAGAACTACAACCATATCACTATACAAGTGAAAGTGCTCAGTACTATATATATATATATACACACACACACACATGAATGGTAAAGAAAGTGCCAGAAAGCTGCATGCAGCACCATACTTCACCACATTTTGGAAAGAAACCCCCAAACTTTCACTTCATTTAAGAAAACAAGTTATTAATAAAGAATATCAACTATGAAACATTTCAAACATTTTTATTAGGTATAACATGCGGGCTTTTTACCTAACTTTAGTGATACAGTACTATAAAGGTTAGAACACGGGAAGCAAGATTTTCATCAGAAATTGCGATATTAAAGTTGCCTTTTCAGATGCTGATGCATGCATAGATTCTGCATAGAACATGTACTTGAGAACTGAAGTGCTAGACCCACTGGTACTACTTAGCACTTGCTGCACCTAGCTATTAATACTGGCTGGTTAAATATCAGAGTTTCAATGCAGCTGCTTCAGTTCTGAAAGTAACTATCAAGGTGTATATCATTCAGCAATAACACCTTTGCTCCTTTCTCTTTCACCCTTCAAGATCTCACAATCCTAGAAGAAAATATTTCTTACAAAGAAAACCACTACCTCAATGTCTACCTGAGATTCCAAATGCCCCAGTGAGTTCCAAGACAAAAAAATTTGAAGAGAAAGCTTTTCCTGGCACCTCAAGACAGAGGTGTAAGACCATAAAAAATAAAGAAAAGCAGCACCAGCAATACCATCAAAACCACTACTGTATAAGCAGGCAATACCAGTATTCTGATCCACGGAAAGAGTTCTAGCCTCTCCAATTTTTACATTGGACCTAGGAAAACCTGCCTCCCTCCACGTACGTATAAAATCATAAGGTTTTTTTTGATCTTGCCTTTCATACTTCAGCTTTTAGTATAGAAGTTTAAAAAAACAACAGGTTTTTTTTTTTTTTTAAACACAGCTTAGAGCAGTACATGATTTCACAGACATCTACTTGTGAATGCCAAGATTTCATGCTTTGATCACTCTTGACTTTCAATCATTCCAGACCTTCAGATTTAGAGTGTGAAATACTGTCATTTGTAAGCAGGTTAAGTATACCATGTGAAAGCCCTTCGTTGTAAATATTGAATTATTACACCTGAGCTATGGCCACCTGTCTCACCAACAGGCTCCTTATTTACTCCTCTTGTAGTCTCTCCTATGCATCACTTTGATGCCGTCATGAAAGTTCTTTCATATTAAAGTTGAAACTTACTGTTCCTTTAATTTTTCCCCCTCTCTCTCACTGACCATCTTTTCCACAGTGAATACTAAATGACAGTTATTTCATATACACATTATCATTTTAACTTTGTCCTTCCTCATTGCATTTTCCTTCCATCTTATTTCTCCATTGCAGTTTACACGTAGATCACAAGGTTTTTGCCATAATTTTGGTGTTTTCCGACCTATGTAATACACCTATGAATATTACATGGATTATTTCTCACAGCTGTTCTAAGTATATATATATTAGAAGGCATGTTTGTATTTATTTACCTAAAGCAGCTGGAGTTGTTATTCAGATTAAATTTAGGGTGAAAAGCTGACCAATTCCCCAAGAAGAGAGAACTTAAGTTTTCAAACTGGAGAAATTGATAGCCTTAAGGAGGCATGCACACCTGCCTAGCTTACATAACATCTAGTTTGAATAAAGTTATTTCAGCATATAAACACTGATATATTAACAACACATTTTATCATATTAAACAACACTCCACTTTAATCAGGTCATATCTGTGATGCCAGGAGACAAAGCTAAGCTTAGATTTGTCTCTAACAGTTAACTTCTGGTTTTTTGCTTCCAATTTTTAACTACCAATTAACTTCTCAAACTATCTACAATAATGCTGTTTGTACAAACATTTTCATTTTGACTCATGGCTATAGACTCACTGACTCAAGTTCTGTGAAATTCTACTAGAGACAGAAGGTTTGACTGAAAGTTGGAATTTTTATCATTTTTACATCAACTATGGAAGCAAACAGTACAGTGTACAACAGTACTAGAACCTCCCCCTACATCTCCTTGGCAGTTATTCTGCAGATTTTTGACATGGCCTCAGATAAATTATTTAAGTAAAAAAGGTGGATACTTAAAGTGAGCATACAGACCTAAGAAGGTAGAACTGACTTTACTATGCCTTCCACAAGAGCTACCCTTACTGAGGTCCAACCATGAAAGCACTTACAGAGAATACAGTTCCGACTAAGCCAATGTCTTAGATTTTACAGAACAGTAAGATTTTCCATACCACATTCTCATTGGGGTACTTGAGGGATTATTGTCACTGTCCAATGCCAACAGCCCACATTTCTATAGTATTCAAGAAAAAAAATGCAGCATACCTTCTCAGGTCTCCAGAGGTGAAAACTTGATCTCTTTCTACATTCCCCTGCTCATTTAGTATGTAGAAAACTTAAGTTCTTAGCCTGAGGCATTAAAACTGGTTCATCAAGCCAGGTAACACAAAACCCCTTTCTATTCTTAGCTCACACTATAACAGGGAAGAGTGCAGGTCCCTTTAAGTTCCTATACAGGGATCTAGGGAAACCTAACTGGTCCCTTATAAACTCAATGACTAATTAACTGTACATTAGCAGATACCCAACTTCTAGCATAGCTAAGGCTGCAAACATATATGCAAGGCAGTCACTTCAAAGACTCACACTGTTGTTGCACATCCAAGTATGAAACTGGATGTGTGCGGTTGCAGTTGTAAATATTTCACGGACATATCACAGGCATATCCTTAACTTACGGGTAACTTCCCACACAGTGGGCCTTGTATAACCTCCTCAAGCAAGACTCGCTACTTCAGTGAGGGGGAGAGGCACCTAAAATAGCCATCATCTTCCTTCCCCAAAGTCCAACAATTTCACAAGCACATTTTTCCATTTTAAAAAAACAAGACTAGTATTCACTGACTTACTTTTATAATACTTAAAGAAAAAAGAACGCCTTTAGACTTTTCAATCGTTCTTCAACTAATAAAAAGCCACATAATAAGTACTTTGTATTTGTAATTGAAATGCTGCCAAAACTGTGCAGTATCACTAGAAATGTGCACCACTGAGCCTCTACCTTTCTAGATACTTAGGCAAAGGTGCACTGGGCTGCATTCTGGGTTGTAAAGTAACTTCTGAATGTCTAAACCACATATAAAACAAGGGATTGAATACACTGGTTCAAAAGTTCCTACATAACGGCATCTAATTTGCATTTTCCAAATATCTTAAACTACATACAGAGAAATGCTACACAAAGGAAAGTTTTGTGACAGAAAATCAAATGCTTAAACATTTAAGGGATTTTAGAAAAATCTGAAGCATATCTAATAATTCAGAGCAAAGATTTTTCATCCCAGTTTCAAAAACTTGCCTGAAGTTAAAAATATCTGCATAAATGCATCATTTTTGCTTTCAGTTTACCTAAAATTTAGAAATACGTATGAAGATTTCACACTTGTCTGGAAATATCAGTATGAAATGACGTGTTTCTGAATGGTTTCTGTTTGAGACACGACAACTTTTATATTATTTCTACAAAGAAGTCTCATATTGCTCCAGATGGCCAGTTTTAATAAGTGGAAAATTACAACAGCCTATTTTAACAAAACTAGGAGGAACTCATAAGTGCCAAAATGTTCATAAGCTGTTTTCTTAACCCAAAAAATGCCAACGGAAGTATTAATGTGCATGGAAGCTAGAGGAAAATTTTTTCCTATCCAAAAGACAGACAAACCAGGGACCAGTGTTTTCAGTACTAACAGCAAAAAACCTTTTAGTATATGCCTTAACAGACAGGAGCATAAAGAGACTTATACACCTGCAACAATTATACTATACTGTGGAAATAAGACGACTAGCAGACCAAAAACTGTTAAAAAAAGTGTGGGTTATGGAAGGACATCTTTGTGAAGTTACTGCTTTCTGAGAGTTTCAGTTTCAAACCTTGCGTGTTGGTTTCCTGCTTATGTTTAGTTAGAGCAAGAGCAGCAGTGCTAGAGAAGACAAGCCTCCAGTGACAGCACTGCCCACGCAGACTCTTCTGAAATGGCCTGCACACCCAACTGCCAAACGCTCCACCCAGGGCTGGAGTCGAGCCCTCTGTTCCAGCAGTGCCGTAACACCTTTTGTTCGCCTGGGCCACTGACGCGCCAGCGAATGCACATCTGCAAATGCACGCGCGCATGGAGCTCGCGTTTTCCAAGCCTCATTCTTTCCGGTGCG